CAGTAAAAGTGTGGCTTATTCCCTAGCTCCTTCTAGAAGCACCCTCCAAAAACCCTCATACAGCTCAAGCACAGAGTCAGTCTGAACCCACCAGCTGTCCAGGAACTCTGGTAGTTACCTTGAGGCACTACCAAGACAAAGCATGCTCAAGTGCCCATTAGGCACCACATTAGAGGTGAGAGTTCTTACTTGTAATGAGAGAGTTCATGATGATGTGAGTGGCCTTGGCCTTCACCACAGGTACCTTGTTCACACTTTCTGTAGACAATGATGGAGTTATGATGGATGCATTCATGTTAGCATCCCCCTCCTCGATCTGTGGGGAAGCAGCAGGGTACAGTTTAAGATGAGAAAGTATCTCAGCACCTTGCCAGGCCGCATTTCTAACTACTGAAATGAAACACAAGGCCAAGCTGCTCTAGCAGCTAGCCTTCATCCCTTGGAATAAACCCATACACTGTTCTCACTACAGCTAGGAAATGTTTAGAGCTTGAACCTTACAATTCTTAGCAATGAACAAGAACTTGCATCCAGTATTTGGAAACATGCAGGGCTCAGAGCCAAAAAGTTGTTAGTCTAAGCACAAAAGGTCAACAGGAAAGAAACCAGAACATATCTACTTCCATTCCCATAACTGAAAATTGGACTTCAAGGTCCACTGGGCAAGAGCACCCTTTCAGAGACAGCTCAGAAACAAGCTATTTACAGAACAGCAGGCACACAGATTAGAGGCTGGTGTTTAGACCTCGCTTCCCACCTCACTCCTTGTATCAGTTCCCTGTTCAGTGTATCCAGCAGTCATAGCTCTACCACTGACCACAAGACCCAGGCAACAAAGACCAGACAATGAATGCTACAAGAAATCCTGTGAAACACAGAAATCCTCCTCTTAGCACAGGAGTCACCACTCCCGAACTTGACAATTTGCTTTCTGCACCAAACCACAACTTCAGGTTTCCCTCCATTAGATATTTCTGGGTTGGTTTTTTTTTTTTTTAAAGGAGGTGAAAATCCGAGGTTAAGCTCTAAGGGATACAGTTACTTGCTTCCATTCAACCACAGTCAGTGCCACTTCAAACTGGGAAAGCAGCCTCTAAATTTAAAAGAGCTGGTCCTGTACTCAACGCCCTCCCACAGTCATTTCATGCAACAGTTTGGGCTGGAAGGCACCTTCAACAACTGTCTGGTTTAGCCCCCACTGCAGGCTGGGACATCTCCCACTAGAGCAGGTTGCTCAAAGCGAAGCCCCACCTCACTTTTAACACTTCCAGGGATGGGGCATCCACAACTTCTCTGTACAGTCTGTCCAGCGCCTCGCCACCCTCTGCATAAAGAACTTACAGCCAGCCCAGATCTACCCCTTCGCCCTGGTTTCAGCTCACAGCTTTAAACCTATAAACACCTCCCATAGCGAGGGGACTCCCCAGACAGGCCCATCCCAACCATACCGCAATGCTACCACAAGAGAGACAGGCCGCAAAGCCGGGCTCTTGTCCCCAGCGCCTCCGGGGCTCTGCTGCGGATGGCGGGGGCAGCTCCCCGGGGCGGTGCCGCGCCACCGGCAGCGGGACGGCTGTCAAGGCCACCGCAGCAACCTCCCGTCCTGTACCTTCGAGAGCTCCTGGTACTTGCGCTCGGGGATGACCGGCTGCTTCCAGAGGACGCTGGCGCACAGGTCGGCGGGCGGCGGAGTCATGGGCGCCGTGTCCTCCAAGCCCTCGTCGTAGCTGAAGGCCCGCCGCGGCACGCCGACAGGCAGCGATATCTTGCCCGGGCGGGGGCCGCCGCCCTGCTCCAGCGCTGCGGACAGAGAGGGCAGCGCTCAGAGCCGCCGCGGCCTGCCCGGGCCGGCGGGGAGCGCTGAGGGCTCGGCTTACCGGGAGCGTCCGGCTGCCGCGCACTCATGACGGCGGCTCGGCTTAGGCTAGCGAGGCTCGGAGGGGTGTGGTGGGGCAGAGCCCGGCGGCGCCATGGCGGGGAAAGCACCGGTAGAACACCAGCGCTACAGCGGTACCACAACGGCACCGGAGCGCAGGGACCGCCCCCGCGGGAGGGAGCTTAGAGGGGCACAGATGTCGCGAGTCCTGAGCGCGGAGCACGCTGGGAGATGTAGTTCGGGATGAACGGGGCGGGGCCAAGGATTCCGAGCAGCCTGACCCTGCCCGGTTCCTGCCCGGTTCCTGCCCGACACCGCCAGCCCTCGGCCCCCCCCCTCCGGCGGGGTGCTCAGCCCGCCCCAGCCGAGGCAGCGCGGCTGAGGGCCACGGGAGCCGCTCAAGGAGGCTCCAGGGAAGGGCCAGCAGCCGTGGGACCTGGCCCGGCGCTGGGGTGCGTTGCGCCACCGGGGTGGATTGAGGACCTGCGAGTCCCGTGGGCAGTGGGTGCACCGGGCAGGTGTGAGGCCTGGGGGCAGCTCATATCAGAGACCTGGCCGCCCCCTGCCCACCGTCGGGACCGCTGTGTTCGCCCTCGGTTCCCTCCTCTACATCGCCTGGAAGATCTCCTTCTGCGACACCAACAGCGGCGCCGACTGGGACGGATGGTGGGAGCAGGACCTGTGGGAGCAAGCCCCCTCCAAGGACGCCGTAAGGAGGGGACGGACTCCCCCGGTACCCCCGGCCCACCGCGGGCGGGAAGGGCTTAGGGTCGGGATCTCCCGGGCATCCCCTACACCGGGATCTCCTCACCGAGATCTCTCCGATGGGGCAGGGCACTGGGATCTCTCCTGGTTCCTCACTTCTCCCCCGGGACCGTGAAGCTGGGGAAGGGGCAGGGTCGGGGCTACCCCTGTGCTCCCCAGGCTGGGGAAGGTTCTGGATCACCAGCAGAATCCACACAGGGCTTGGGAAGGGGGCGCAGACACTGGATCCCCGCTGGGATCTCACACTGGTATCCCCTGGAGCAGGTCAGACTGGATTCCCCAGGGTATTCTTGGGATACAGCCCATGGGGTACGCTCCTGCAGCCCATCACGCAAGGGGACGGTCCCCAGCTTGAACAGCCAGTGGAGCCCACCAGGATGGAGGGGATGGTGAGGACCCCTTGCTCTGGGCTCATCAGTCAATCATCCCATAACCATGCAGCTGCGGGTACTGGGACCTGCTCCCACCCACCCAACATGCTCCTGTACCCCCTCAGCTGGACTGGCAGCAAGTGCTGGTGCTGGGGCTGGACGGAGCGGGGAAGAGCAGCGTCCTGCACTACATCTGCAACCAGACGGCCAGGAAGCACTTCACACCCACCCAGGGCTTCAACTGCACTCAGCTTTCTATTGAGGGGCTGGAGATGGAGCTGCTGGAGGGTAAGGCTGGCCTGGCTCTGCATGGCCTGGAGCATTCCACCCACCTGGAGCATCCCCCCCTGCCGACACCAGGCTGGGGGTAAAGAGCATCTGGGGTGATGGGAGGTCTGATTGATCCCCACACTGGTGCCTGATCCTCTCCATCTCCCGCAGTGGGTGGCAGCCAGAACCTGCGAGCCTACTGGCCCCACTACGTGAGCCATGCCCACATGCTGGTGTTCGTGGTGGACTCGGTGGACAGGTTGCGCCTGGTGACAGCACGCCAGGAGCTGCACTCGCTGCTGGCCATAGAGCCCCAGCTGCCCCTGGTGGTGCTGGCAAATAAGCAGGTTGGTATCTATCTCCACAGGTGCCTCTGGGCATGTTTCCAGTGAAATCCTTCCCCAGGGCCCTGAAGGGAAATCCTGATGCCCCAAATCCACCAACTCTTGCAAAATCCGATCTTGGGACAGTCTCCTCCAGTTTTCATTGGGAGGCATGGCTGCTGTTGCCAGCGCCTGGCTAATGAGTTTCAGGAGAACACCCAGGTAGCACATGCCAAATCCTGGATGGGAAATACATTTCAAGGCAGTTGACCAAGCGCATGCCTCGTGCTGCTCCCCATTAGCTTGTGCCAAAGCAGCTCCAATGCAAGAAACAGCCCTGCCTGCACGCTATTCCTGCCAGGACCAGGCTGCTGCCAGCTCCATGCACTGCTCCCCTCCTGAGCAGCCTCTTCTTTCCCCACAGGACAAGAGCGATGCCTTGAGCACGGCAGAGCTGTGGGAGGAGCTGGCCCTGCACACGCTCAGCGAGCATCGGGAGGTCTTCCTGCTGCCCACCAGCGCGACGTGGGACAGCCTGAACACTGCCAACAGCATCCTCCATGTGAAGAGCCTGCTGGTGACATTGCTCTCCCAGACCTTGAGCACTCTGCCACAGGGGGAGGGCAGCCAACCCCCCCCAGTTCAAGGATGAAATCACCCTTGGGATGCTCCTGGTGAGCAGGAACATGCAGCACAGGGCAGCACCCCACACCTTCACAGTAGCCCTGCAGGATATTAAATGAACGGGGCTGGAGAGGGAGTCCTGCCAGTGCTGAGCACAGCTTTCAATTCCCCCAACTCTGTACTTAAAGCCCTGTTGAGGAGAGATGAGGGCAGGTATTGGGCAGCCCTTCACCCTGAACAAGGGCAAAGATGTGCTGTTTGGTAGTTGCTGTGCCCAGCAGGCATTTGCCCAGCTGCCTGATCTCCCTCCAGTTCAGCTTCACCAGGTCACAGGGGATGAAGGAAGCCCTGCCTGCAGGCAGGAAGCTGCTGAGTCAGGCCACAGGGTGCTGGGTCCTGAAAACCCAATCATGAAAGCAGGGGAGCACCTTGGGAGAAGGGAGTACACTCAGCTGATCTCTGCTGTTAAAACTGTCACTCCTTCCTTTTGTCAATAAAAGAGGTTGACCAATCTGCACTGCCCTCCAGCTCCTTGGCAGAGAAGGGCTCTCCCAGCCTGCAGGCAGGAAGGTCACTCACAGGGGAAGGAAGCAGCACATGAGCCTGCTTCAACTTCTGCTGCCTATAGGGAAATCAGCAGAGGTTCTAGTGCTGCCTGCATCCGTTACTGCAGAAGGTGCCATGTGCCCAATATCCATGTCTCACCATGGCACTGGGAGCTCTCAAAGCAGGACTGTGCCAAGCAGGAGCCCATGAGTAAGACACACCACCTTGGAAAAGCAATTTATTTTAACAAGGCAACAGGAGCACTGCCTGCCACGCACAGGGACTGGCACAGCACACTCAGTCCCAATGCTACAAGCCACAGACAAGAGCCTTTCACGCCTGGTTATAACTATCTCTGTCTAATGAAGGTCCTTCCTCCATCACCAGAGGCTTTGCATAGCTCAGCTTGCAGGCACTGGGGCTGTGACTGTCACCTGTCTGTCAGTCTGTGCTAAGCACAGAAAACAGTTGTGTCAAGCCTGCACTTGCAGGCAAACCTGAGGGAAAAGGGCAGTCACTACACCTCCATCTTCTCCTGCTTGAGGGATGCAACAAATTCCTTGTACTCCTCGGGATAGAAATTCTTGTACACGTTGATCTTTCTCTTGATCTGCTTGGGAGTATCCTGGTAGTAGTTCTTCTCGTCTCGAGCCATTTCCTGAGACAAAGGAAAGCATAAAACAGAGGGATGTCCCCAGGAGCAAACACCAAACCAGCCCAAGCCACACTCCAAAGACCCACCCAGGCCGGCTGTGATCACTGCCTGACTCAGACAGGGATCTGGCCAAGGTTCCCCTTAACACAGCTCACTGCAACACAGGAGCCAGGACAGAGAGGATTATTGGTTCCCATTCTGTAGAAGATCCAGGATCAAGCTGCTCTGGTTGCTGTTCGCTCTGGGACAGCCAGTACTGACCTTGTAATTCTCCCCGTGGTTCTGTATCATGTACCGCACGTAGTCAATGAGATCTCGTGAGAGTGTGTTCGACTTCTTCTCGGGCAGACTGGCCTCATATTCCATCTCTAGGCAGAGAACAGAGACACCATGAAGCAGGGGAGGCAAGCAAGCAACATCTCAGAAGTCCCCAGCCTGTTCCCAAGATCAAGTCCTGCTGCAGAAAGGAGGTGGCTTCCCAGCACCATCTTGGAGGAAAACAAACAACAGTCCTCAGCACAATGTGCAGGCATACTGCTCGCAGCACAAGTGGAACATTTCTGCCCAGGCTGCAGAGTGTGACTGTTCAGAGCTGCCCAGTCCACCACCAAAACATGCAGGATACTGCAGCCTCAGTTTGTCACCCTGCTGTCACAAACCATCCTGTTTCAGAATCACAAGAGCCCTCCTGGGGCTGCAGGTAGAAATACTGTAAAGAAGGCAGCACAGGAGGGAAAAGGAAATTCCTGAGCCAGAGGACGCATAGGAATGGCAGAGCTGCTGTCCTGGCTCCCACTCAGCTCCAGCCTGGCTGGGAATCTCCAGCCAGCTGTTGCCAGGGGCTTGCTCCTCTACAAGCCTGGAGGAGAAGTAACACTCTTAGGGCATAGCACAGAGATGAGAGATAAAATAACCCAGAGGGCCTTGGGAGAACCCAGCAGGAAACCGCCAGGGCTGGAGGTGCTCCCTGGGGCAAGCAGCAGCAGCACTGACCGTTCAGCACGTAGGGCTTCCGCACTAGTTCCTTTCCTTGGTCTTGTCCATTGCTTTCCAGTTCCATCCCCTGTTTTGAATGAGAGAAAAAGCAACTCAAGAAAAACCCATTTGGGAGAGAGCCGTGTCCTGATACATTGCTCCCAAAACTCCAAACTGCTTACCCAATGGCTGCAAGGACAGAGAAATCTCAGCTGATTTAAGAAAAGCTGTTATTTGCGCCATTAAGCTAGCTCGAGGACAACCTTGTCACAGTGTGGACACAGACAAATGGCAAACAAGGTCACTCCTGTTTTTCATGAGTGTGACGTTTTGTGCGGCCACCTTTTGCCTGGAAGTGTTGCTCACTGGTGCAGACAGGCCAGCCTGGTGCTACTGTACATACCAAAGCCTTCTTTGCTATCAGGAGCAATTCAGCTGCTGTGTTCCCAACCCTACCTCTCCCTGGCAAGTCTCAGGAGATTGACTGGCATCATTTCTAGTGAAGCCCATGATTCATTCTTAAGTCCATTATTTCTCTGTGACACTGGAGCTTGCTCCCATGCCAGGATCTTGGCAAGAAAACAATATCCATGGATAAGAAACCCATCCACCTACAGAGACCGGCCCAGAGCCACCTGACCCATGCCCAGGGTAGGCTTCTGCTCTTCCCCAGCCCAGCTGCGTGTCCTGGGGAGGCATCACCTTCCATCCCCCACAAAGGAGCAGCCGCAGCCGATCCCCCCAGCCCATACACTCACCAGCAGCTTCTTCTTGGGGATGGGGACGGCCTTGTTGGGATCGCCGGCCAGGCCCATCTCGGCCAGGTTCTGCGCCACCGACTTGGTGGGGTCCCATGCTTGGCGGATGTGCGAGCTGCGCGGGGACAGGCACCGGCATCACGGCTGCGCTCCGCCCCACACACACAAGCGTCCCCCGGGCACCCACCGAGACCTGCAGCAGCCCCCCAGGGGCACCCGGCCGCCCTGCCCATAGCCCGCACCCGGGTCCGCGCTCCCCGTGCGCGCCCATGCCGCGGCCCTCACCATGCGATGCGCGGGGCGGCGCGGCGGCGGGCGCTGCGGTACAGCCGCTTGCGGTTGAGGTTGTAGGAGTACTTGTGCCGCCGGCTCTTCCCCTTCGCCTTCGGCATGGCCGCTCCACGCTGCTGCCAGCGCCGCGCCGGAATAGGCCGCGGGGCACCACGGGAAGTGTGGTCCCGTCCCGCAGCTCCGCTTGTCGGGCCAACCTAGTTGCGGACTACAACCCCCGTCATGCCCCGCGGCCGGAGTGCTCGCTCGAACGGTTCCTGGCTACGGCGGCCGGGGCGGGTCGCGGTGGTCACCTTCCTGCGGCCGCAGCTATGGCGGCCGAGCCTCCTCCGCCGCCGCCGCTGGAGCCCATCGTGCTGCCGGTGTTCAGGGAGGAGGGCTTCGGCGACAAGTTCCTGCGCAAGACCCGAGAGAACCCCCTGGTGCCCCTCGGTGAGGGGAGGGAGGGGGGTGGCGGTGTGGGGCTGAGGGAAGGGGAAGGGTCGGCTGGCAGTGGGGCTGCTCTGGGGGTGCTTCACAAGCCGGCAGCGCTCAGGTGCGGGGTGGGGGGGGCATGAGCTGCTCCTCAGAGCCCCTGCCCGCCAAGCATCCCTCCATCCTTCCCCTCGGCAGGCTGCCTCTGCACCGTCGGCATCCTGACCTACGGGCTGATCAACTTCAAGAGGGGCGACACCCGCAAGTCTCAGCTGATGATGCGGGCGCGTATCCTGGCCCAGGGCTTAACCTTCGCGGCCCTCCTCGGGGGCATGGCAGTCACAGCCATGAAGTCTAGAAAGTGAAGTCAGGCGAGAGGGGAGCTGCGGGTGTGCCCCCGCCAGCCTGTGTCCAGCTGGATTTGGGCTGCGGATGGAGTTTCTGAGAGACAGTTGTGATGTCCCGGTGGAGCTGGCACTGGAGAAGCTCTGGGTTCCAGAGCTCTGGGAACTGGCTAATACAACTCTGTGAATAACCTGATCTTTGGGCCCTGGCGGTTTTTTGATTCTTTGAGGGCTTGTCCTCCTGCTGCACTGAAGGCTGTGTCTCACTGAGCCTCTCCAGCCCTGTCAGAGCTCTCATCCCTGCTTGGTGCTGTCACACTGTTGAAATTGGGTCCTGGGGTCAAGTTGTGTCTTTATTCAGGCGGTGCACCAGCATTTGAGAAATGAGCTGCCCCAGTAGAAGCTGTTTGTGGCCTGGTCCTGCAGGACGGAGTTCATAAGCAGCAGGTGAGTTGTCTGGGGAGAATATGTAATCTGTTGGGTTGCAGCCAGTGAGTAATAAAGTGAATTGCAGTGAGATTCTGACTGATACTGGGTGGCAGAGCATTGAGAGACCAGAGAGTAAACAGGAAGGGAGAAGGCAGAGCTGCCTCACAACTGCGGTGATGCAAGCAGGACACAAGATGCAACTCCTGATGAAAAAAAAAAGTTGGGAACTCACATTTCCAAAATGGGGACTTGCAGCATTCCCTGGGTCCTGCTGCTGCTTTTGCTAGGGAGTCAGTTCCTGCACGGCTCAGTGCTTCACACGAGCTGAAAGCTGAGCTAGAGGGAACTGCACTCCCTGCATCGTGACAGACATCATTTGGATCATACCAGGGGGGTTTGGTGAGCAACAAGACTTTGCTCTCCCATGTCAGAGCTGCAGGGCTGGGAGGACATGGAGCTGTTGGCTCTGTTTGCTCCATGGCTGCAGCAGCTCATATCTGCAGGGGAAAGGGGCACGAACACCACTAATGTGCTGTGGTGTCTCCCGCATTGAGCTGGCTGGGGTGTTTCCAGGCACCGAGTGTCTGCAGGTTGGTGCCTGTGCCCTGGCCCTCCCTGTCCTGTGGTGCCTTTGGAGCTTGTGGAGCCCACTAGTGCCTTCATGAGCTTCTCTGGAAGAGAACCCCACCTCTGGGTGAGGGGGAACCCGCTTCTGCTTGCAAACAAGCAGGGATAGAGAGGAAGGCTCTTGCCCACCAGAGCCGACTTATGAGGTGTGAGGGTGGGCAAATGAGCTATTGCCAGCACTGAGCAGGGTGAGCCCCACCAGGGAGCCCTACACGTTGCCTGCTTAGCATGTCTTCCCCAGAAGCTGTCTCTGGCTGGCTGACTTGCACTTCAGCCCAGCCAACTTGGGGCAGGGCTGTGGGAGGCAGTGGGTGGGCAAATCTGTGAGCACAATCCCTTGGCAACCTGGATAAGGTTGGCTGCCACTGCCTCTGCCCCAGCCCAGCACAAACCATCTGGTCCTTCCCCTTGCTCCTGTTTCTTCCTGTAGGATGTGGTTTTCCTCCCACCCTGTCCTTTCCACAGGAGGCTTCTGTGGGGCTGTGTGTTCTCCTAAGCACACACGTTGCTGAAGCGGAAAGATGACAGTGCCCTGTAGGACTGGAGATGTGGGTTTATTGTAACAGGTAATTCGAACAGTCACAGATACCAAGCCAGGGGGATGTAGAAGAGCTGTGGGCATGGCTCCCCGGGAGCTGGCTGCCCTGCTTGACATGGGGGTACAGCTGTCGGGGGGGCTGGTGGGACAGAGCACAGCAGGGAGACTGCTTCATTTCCCTCTGCTCTGCAGTGAGAGGCAGACAGCCAGCCCCCAAGATACCCTGTACCCGTGTCCATCCTGCACAGCAGAGCTGCCTATGCATGCTGGAGTACAGTGGGACAGAGTAGGAGCAACAGCCCTATAGACAAGGGGCACAATCCCAGCACATAGTGACACCCAAGTGACTCCCCACACACCCATTCCCCTTCCCAGCTCACTGCTGAGCCTGTGCCCCTGAGCCAGGGGTGCCCTTCCTGACTCCATAGCTGCAGGGCAGGAGAGCTTTGTGTACTTGCTGTTTGGCTGACAGGGCTCTGCAGTGATGCTCAAGCAAATGTTTTGTGGGCTCTGCTCCATGTCACAGGTCTGTCCCTCTCCTGCTAGCCGGGAGTTGTGCAGGTTTCCAGAACTGGGCCTCCAAGCTGGAGGGGCTGGTGCTGGCCCTGCCAAGCAGAGAGAGAAACTGGGTGTTCGGGCTGGAAAGTGTCTTGTGGGGTGGGGAGTGGGACTGAGGCATCTCCCCACGCTGCCTTAGGTGTATAAATCCAGCAGGGGCCAAAGAGAAGCCACAGAGTAGCTGCAGGCAGATGTGCAGGTTGTTCTCCAGGGACAGTACAGGCAAAAGCACCAGAACTCTGCCCAGTCCTGCTCTGGGTCACTGGATTAGGGAAGTGGGGGGTTCAACCTTCCTACCTCCTTCCCTGCAACCGCACAGCCTCCATCTCCCATCCCAGTACCAGGGGAAGGAGCAGAGCCAAGGGTCCCAAAGCCTGGCACCCATATTCCCAACTGCTGGTTGCTTTGCTGGAGAGGCAGAAAACATCCCATACGCTCACCCCATGGCCCCATCCCAGTGCCCTGCACCACCTCAAACTGGCACCAGCAACCCCACAGGATGGATGGGACACGGACACTGCAACTGCTGCTTGGAGCCCCACCAGCTTTTTGTGACACAGAGCCAGGCTGGGGAGGGTTCTGCTGGGCTTGGGGCCTTCCCGGCCCAGCCTGGGTGTCTGCACTCAGATTCCTCAGCCCAGCAGCATCACGGTGCAGCCACGCTCCTGCAGGACTTAGCAGTGCAGAGCTGAGTAAGGGCTGTTCCTCCACCTTCCCACACCAGCTCTGCTTTAAACCCCTGGGAAAGGCAGGTGACAACCCCCGAGTCCCACTGGGATCACTGCCTGGGTCCCAGGGTCAGACACAGGGCTGCCATGCCGGGAGTTGCTCCAGGAGAGCCGCAGGTGGGTTTATTGCCAGTGCAGGGGTGAGGCGGGGAACACCAGGGAGATGTTCCCCCTCTCACTCAGCCAGGCCTCTGGGCACAAGCTCAGCCCAGACTGCGGGCTCCCCCGCTGTAACTCAGCTCTGCCACCCAGTGTCGCTTCCCGGGGAAATGCCACAGTGTAATAAATAGGTGTAAAAAGAGACCGATGCACCTTTTAAGCAAAGGAAAACCATGGGGAGAGTTACAACCAGTGACTCGAGCACAGCAGAGGTGCACAGACGGGAGCAGGCAGGATGAGGCCCCTCTTTGGGCTCTGTGAGCCCAGCCCTGCCTGGCTGTGCTCCAGCTGTGCCAGGCAGCAGCTAACGGGACAGGGGTGTCTGTTTGAGGGAGATGAGCACCGAGCGCATCCGCGAGACATCCTTGCTCTGCTTGCTGCTCTTGGGATTGAAATCGCAGAGCTGGGCCACCTTCTCCCATTCGGAGCCAGGGGTTTCCTCCTTGGACTCCTTCAGGAATGCTTCTTCCGAGGCCCTGCAGAGACATGGAGGGTTGTTACTGGCAGAACCCCTTCAAAGGAGACCCTCCCCTGTGTCTGGGAACCCCTCATGTCCCTGCTTCCTGTCCCTTTGCTCCGGCTGAGGAGCTCTGCATCCTCTGGGATCCAGAGGCACATGATGCTCAAGGCTGCTGTTGGCTGCACTCACCCAAGATATCATTCATCCAGGGGCACTGGAGTGTCTGCCTGCCCCCAAGACTTCTCCACTCCCAGAGCCATCCCCCAAAAGGCACAAGACCCCAAGCTTTGCCTCTTCAACAGCCCCCACACAGGCATTTCCAGGAGCTCCACTTGCCTCCTAAGACTCCACCATCTGGAGACAAGGAGACACTCAGCTGCACTGTCCTCCCTCTGGGACCTCACCATGGCCCAATACCTCCCAGCATCCCCCCTTCCCTTGGCTGGGCAGCCCCAGGACCCCCAGACCCTGCGGGGCAGGATATGGTCCGTAAGAGGCACATACACATAACCGATCACATCGGCGTCCGGCTGCTGGTAAAAGGCTTTGTCAGCGATCCTATAGCCCCCGAGGCAGAGACAGAGAGAGAACGCAGAGCGGACAGGCAGGCAGAGGGTTAGAGAGAGAGAAACACACAGGGGGTTAATGTCCTCCCAAAGAGCATGTCCCACTCACCATAGCTCATACAGCACCAGGACAACCTGCACACACAGTGCCCCAACCCTGCCCCAGGGTGAGGCCCATGCGGGGGGCAGGAGGCACCAAGATCTCAGTGTAGTCCCAGCCAGAGCAGCTCTGCACAGCCACCGGAGCCACTCACAGCCCCTTGCCTGGCAAAGCTCCATCCCTGCAAGGCTGGGCTACACTGTGGGGAAGGAGGCCCCCAGACATCCCAGATCTGGCTGCACAGCCAGCTCCCACTGCAGCCCTCGTGGCCATGCTGACCCCAGCATACCTGTTGTTTGCTCGGTTCTTCTCCATCTGCTCATTCTGACGCAGGTTCCACTCCTCCAGGTCCTTCTTGGCCTTCTCACGCCATTCCTGCTCAGTTACCTTTGATGCTGCATCTAAGGCCAGAGCAAATCAGACCCCATTAACCAGACTATCATGCACTTATTCTGCTGGGCAGCTTCCCAACAGGCAAGACAGCTGCAGCTCCTCAGCCTTATCCCCAGTCCCTAGTACTGTCTGAAAGGCATCACTGCCCCAAGGATAGCAGGGGCACCCACACAGCGTGGGCCACAAGATACCTCTCTGGGATGCAGCTGAGTCGCCTCCAGGTGAGGGATACCATGGGACCCAACTGCCATAAGCATGGCCACATATGGCCTCAGGTCTCACCTAGCTCCTCCAGGCGCTTCTTCTGCTCCTCCCTCCACTTGCGGATGCTCTCAGGTTCCTGGGTCAGCCGGTCAGCCTTGGCTATGGCTGCGTAGGCATCGGTGGGGCCATTGGACTCCTGGAGGACATGAGCACCTCAGCATCAGCACTAGCTCTTTCCACGGCCACCTCAAAGGGCCACTCAGACAAAACAAGATAGGAGGGAAGGAGGGTGAGAGCCTCAGACATGTGGGACAGAGTTCCCAAAGTGCTCAAGCTGCTGTCCCAGCTCCCAGGCCCTGTTACACTTCCCAGCCTTTACCTCCCTGACTTGCTCCTCTCACAACCCCTGGGCAGCCACCAGCTTTGTGACATGCTCCTATCAGCACCAGCCTCCCCTGACCCTGACTTGGGCTGAGGCAGCCCCAGAACTCAGCACTGTTACAGCCTGGCCCTATCAGACAGGGAGAGGCCAATGCCTGGACACTATCCCACAGAGAAGAGCCTCTCTAGCTCCTCTGAGCCCAGCTCCCACCTGGCTCAGCACCATGCTGGCTCAGGACCTCTCTTAACACCTTGTGCTGGCCAGGATTCCCAGCCTGATAGCGAGCTCAGCCATGGGATTACAGCTTTACTCCAAGATCCCAAATCTAATTAAGCCTGCCCAGTGTCTGATGTGATTATCACCCCTAATCTAGGCACGGGCAATGCACATGCCACGCTGCTGGGCACTGAGTGGGGTGAAGGGCTTATCAAGTGCTGGCACAGCTCCTCCTGCAGCCACCAGAGCTGGGCCTGGGGCTCCCCAAGGGAGCTGAGACCTCGGTGGGTGGCCTCCACTAAAAATCCTTGGCCACAGGGCAAGTGGGTTTAACAGGAGATGCTGCTGAATCAACAAAACAAGTGTCCCATGGCAGCCCTGCCCTGGCTCTGGCCTCGCTAAGAGAGGCTTCTGGCTGCCTCCAGGAGCTATCAAGGCTAGAGAGATGGGGCACTCCTTAACACCACAGGCCACCTGCAAACAGATTTGGGGCAGGTCATGGCAGATAGAACCAATCTTCTCTTCAAAGAGGGAAGAGAATGGAGCAGCCAGGACACCCCATGAGACACACACCTTTCCAGAGTGATTCTGCATCTGGATAGCAAACTGCGAGCAGAGCAGCAGAGCATGTGCCACATACCCACCCAATCCCCCTTAGCACCACTGGGCAAGAGGCTGAGCTCTCACCTGGAAGACATCTCCATTGACGGTGGTTCCTCCATTCTGGAAACCAGCTAGGAAAAAGGGAAGAAAGAAAGGCAATTACAACTACGACAGCTGTAGGTGATCCCAGGTGACCCCAGCTGAAGCAAATGTTTCTGGGAGTCTGTTTGTACCATTCCCAGCCCCACATACCCATCCACAACAGCCCCACGGTTTTCTGTCCTTGGAGGGATTCAGCCAACAAGCACCTCTCTATCTTCCAGACAAACCGTTCTGGGTATTTATGTCTTTACAGTGTTTTCACTAGTGTTTTATCTTATCTGAAGATTAGAGAAGCTGTTCCAGGCACAAGGCAGGACACAGGCAGGTGCTTTGACAATAGAAAGACAACCTCACCAACCCCCAGCTGCAGCAGCTAGGCAGAGGCTGCCAATGGACTGCTCCAGAAGCTCTTAGCTGAGTGCCCAGCAGTGAAGGGCTGTGAAGGGATAGCAGCTTTGCCAGGGACAGAGCCCACAGGGACACTGCAGCATGGTCCCCCAGCAGAGGAGGGCATGCATGCATGCTGAAGCCCTTGAGAGCCCACTTGAGGTGATGCCCTTGGGATGAGCTGCAAGGTTAGAGCTGGGAATGAGGCACCTCCAACACCCACAGCTGGGGTACACCCCCATGTGCCCCCCAGCCCCAGATAACACTGAGAGCTGCACATCAGGGTCACAACACCAGCCCCATGCAGGGGTCTCACTGCTGGGAGAGAAGAGGCTTTAAGGAGGCTCCAGACCCTGAGCTCTCTCTAGTGATAACCACAGGCTTCAACCAGCAGGCACAGGCAGCCACATGCAGCTCAGACAAGCACCATCCCGACAGTCTTCGACCCATCGTGCAGCTCTGGCTACACCCAACTCCAGCCTGTCTGACTGCATTTATCACTGTGGCTGTCAACAGCTCTCCAGGCCAGGATCTGCCCCCACAGCCTTGTCTGCGGGGAGGTGAAACAGCACAAGGAGGCCCTGTGGGCCTTGTTAAGGGGAAGAAGCCAGAGTACTGTGGCAGCAGTGTCCATGCAGACAGCAGACCGCCGAGCCCCTGTGGACTAGAGGTAAGAGATCAGGATTAGCACCTTCTACCTGCAGGGCCTGGGACCACAATGTTGCCAGTGAAAATGCCTTCCATTCTGCACCCCAAAGGGCTCTCCTCTCTGTGAGGACAGTGACAGGGCTGTCATTGCTCCTCAGCTTCACCTAGATGCCTCTCACATTGCCCTAGCTGGGGCCACCGAGACAAGGAGACAGGTCCAGTCAAGGAGATAGTCCATTAAATGCAAGCAACCCAGCCTGAGCATATGGGGGAGAAATCACCCCATATCCTTCAAGTCCCAGCTCAGAACTCACCCCTCATCCTCAATTTTGAGAAGGAACCACAACATCAAGAACAGGCCCCCGACAGCCCTTGCTGGGATGCAGGCCTGGCCACTGGGGAGCCCATTCACCTGCCGGGGACGCTGTGCATCCTTCGGGGAACACAGTCCCAAGGGGGGAGGTGCAGAAAGAGGGATCCCCCCTGCCCTCCACAGTCCTCCTTTACCCCCTCCGTGCCCACACCCAGGCGGCCCCTGGTCCGCGGCGCTCACCCGGTTCCGGCTGGGCCGCCTGCCCGGTCGGGGCGGTGGCCGACTCGCCGTCGGTCGGCCCGAAGCCCTCGTCGTTCTCGATGCCCGCGATCTCGCTCTCCTGTTGGGCCAGGAAAGCGGCGGCCGGGTCCTCCTCGGCGCCGGCCGCCTCAGAAGAGGAAAAGAAGCCGAAGTCGTCGGCCATGGCCGGTCCGCCCCGCTCCCGCTGCGCGGCTCGGCTGGGCAGGGCCTGACGGGCACCGGGCGGAGCTGTCACTGCGGCGGCGGGCGGGCCGGCCCTCTGACATCACGGGGGGCCGGGCCTGCCTCCCGGTGGACAGCTTCCTGCATCGCAGCCGGCCGGTGCGGTCCCACTGCGGGCATGGGTGGGCGGAGCAGCTCGGTCCCCTCTCCCCACGCTCGCAGGACCGTGGTCCCGGGGCGCCGTCACCACCCAGGCGCGCACCCGTAGCTCTGCGGGGCGGGAGCGGGCGGCCCCTCACAACCACCATCTTGACTGGCGGCCGCCATCTTGGGTGGAGCCGCCGCCGTTAGAACCGGCGGCGGGGCGGGAGGTGCCCGGGTAGGACCCACCGGATGGCTGGCAAGCTGCCGCGGTGACAGGCAGCCCAGGCAGCGTTCGGGGGGCTCCAGTCCGCATCCCCCCCCAACCCCCTCGGGCTCCAGGCTCTAGCGGGACTCGCCCCCAAGGCTAAAGGCAGCCACCCCCATCCCAGCCGGCTCCGGAAACGCCTGAGCGGCTTTCGGCACGTTTCGGAACTCTTCGTGCGGCCATCGGGAACACCCGAGCGATTCGGGCATTTCCGGATAGGTCTGCGAGCACTTCGGCTTTCTCCGGAGCGCGCGCGAGCATTTCCGGTTACGGCAGATAAAAGGCCGTTGGCTTCGTAACGGCGCTGGGTGCTCGCGCGCTCCCGAGAGCCGGGGCGGAAGTGCGGGTGGCGGAGACGTCAGTTCCGGAGAGTGACGGAGCGGCGGGTCAGAGGCAGCAGCAAAATGGCGGCGCCTGAGGAGCGGGAGCTGACGGCGGAGCAGACCGAGAAGCTGTTGCAGTTCCAGGTGCCGCGGCGCTGGGGGGCCCGTGCCGGCTGGTGGGAGCGGAGGAGGCGGTGCCGGACCCGTCCCACCGGCGCTGGGAGACTGCCGGCCTCCGCCGGGCTAGGGGAACGGCGTTCACCGAGAGCTGGGGCAGGCCCAGCATGGAGCTGAGCGCGGGGCTGTCGGGCCGGGACTGGGTGAGGGGCGAGAGGAGAGCGTCCGGCGGTCCCTGTCCTGGCGGAAACTCCCCGTGAGGGCGAGCGGAGCTCTTGTGTCGGGCCCGGGCTCTGCCGAGCTGGGGCTTCGCTGAGGGGCGGCTGGTGCTATGCATGCTCCGGGTGTTTCGTTTGGAATGGTTCTGTCATCGCTAATTGGGGAGGCAGGAAATGACTACTGAATAATAAACTTCATTAACTCCATACGGGAAAAACTCCTTGGTAAATCCCGGCCATTTTATTTAGGTAGTCTGAAAAATTCCTTTCCTCAGTGCTGAATGGAGGAGTTTTTCCTGGAGCCTTGAGAGGGTCAGCCAGAGGGTTTCTGTGCACTGTGGTTTCTCAGAAAATTGTTTCTAACCCTCACGGTTTGGTAGTGTCCCTGCTGGGGGGAGGCCAGTGAGGATTGTAATGATCTAATCTTGCTGTCTGCTACATTAACATGGGCTGGTTTGCTTAACCTTTGGCTTGCCAAGGATTCAGGGCTGCTCAGCAGCTGAATAACTAAAACAATCAATCTGTAGATGTGGTTTATTGTGGAGAACACAGTGCTGTGGAGTTGGAAAACTTCAGGCTGCTCAGTGAGAAGTGATTGAACATGTGAGTAATGAGAATGGTCTTCAGGTGTCTGGGGTTGGTTCTGAATTGTAGGGCATCATGTGGTGTTCCTTGGGTTGCAAAGTTCTTTTGCAAACACAGTGCTGACTTTCAGGAGTGTTTTGTCTCATTTTGTAGCTTCATGTTAATTTTTTTAAAGACTCTAGTTTGCAATATTTTGGTGGGATGTGACTGTAGAACTACAGGGCTTAAAGGGGTTCGAGAGGCATCCAGCCCTGCTGCCCTCAGCTGAGGTAGGTGCAGGCTTCTCATGATTCCAGACAGATCTTGCCAAGCCTTTACCTCCAAGCCAGGGGAATTCGGCAACCTCCGGAAGCAGTCAGTGTGCTGCAGTGTTCTTTCGTGACTGTAGCTATGAGGAAAATTTTTCTTATGGATACCCTTTCTGAATCTCTACTGCAGATTAAGCTGTTTGGGCAATCTTAACTTGCAGACTAAGGAAGCAGAGCAATGTTAACATTGCTTTCAGAGTGCTACCTTTTCTGTGGTAGGTACAGGAGGTTTGAGCCGCTGCCTTATGCTGCACATCTCTGGGCAAAAGCTGTCCTCCAGCTCCCATTCTCTTGCTGTAAGGTATCAGTGCTCATTAATCTCCTGAATGTGGACAGATGGGACCAGCTGCACTCATCAAGGTCCCTGTTGCTATTTTCAAAACCCTGTGGGCAGCTGTGAAACTGAAGAATCCTGTTTCCGGGTGTTACCTGGTGTTGCCATGGGCAGCAGGCTGGAGGGGAAGCAGGACTCAGGAGGAGAGATTCATGTTTTAGTCTAGCTCCTGTTGAACCCTGGTTTGAAGTGGAGGGAAATGCTCCTTAGACCACAAAGGGAAGAAAATCTTCACTTAAAAGACAGGTGTTGTCCACAGCCTGATCTGAAAGATCAGGTCCAGAAGGCTTTTGATCTTTGGATTCTCATTCCTCTGTCTTGTGGCATATATGGGATTAGCTTTTCACCAGGTCTGTGCTAATGATAGGCTGCACTGGTGATTCCTTCTTCTTTGGCACTTCCTTTCAGTCAGGTGTGGGCTCAGCCCTGCTTGTTTCTTTGAGATGAGATAGAATAAATCAGCCCACCTGCAAAAGATTTATTTCCTTTAGGTGGACTCTGCTAAATAATATTTGCTGTTTGGAGGGGCTGGCTAACTCACTAAAATCCTTTATATGTTGCCATTGCTGCAAAACACTGCTTCAGGTGGCTTGTAAACCTTTTGGGGTTCTTGTTGCCTTTATAGTGAGCACTTAAAGTATTTTCAAAGACAACTCTACCCATGTTGTGCTGCACCATCATAAGTGATTTGTACAATACCCTGTGGTGGCAGAGCCTGATACTTCCACAGGAGGTGGCATGTCACTGCTATTTGAATAAAGCAGGAGAGGACTAAGAAGGGAGTGGGGTTAACAAAGATGAGGCGAGACATAGCAGAGGGCCCTCAGCAGTGCTACACTTAAATGGGAAGCCTTGAGCAAGAGCTGTAGACTGCCATCCGCCCAGCAAACAGCTGTTCTGGGTGAAAATCCTGTTGCCTTATGCTGTTTATCCTAGTTCTGCTGGAATTACTCCTCCCAAGGCAGAGAGGTGGATGCCTGCTGGCTTGTCTGTTGCCTGAGGAGCTGTTGGGGTTACAGTTTGAATACCTGCTTTTCATGAATCCCACTGATGTTTGCTCAGTATGTTTTGGTAGTGCTCATATAAGCAGCTTTGCTGGCAGAAGGGTGAAAACAGCAGTTCTCTTCCTATGCATGGGGCTGGATTAGGGCAATTGTCTGCCACCCTGTGATGGCAGGTTAATGGAGGGGGGGGAAAAGTACCACTATGGAGAGATAATTGGACTAACCGTGAAATAAAAGCAGCAGAGCACTCACTCTTGCCCGCTTTCAACCTCCCGTTTGCTGCCAAAGCTTTGACTAATGTAAAGGAATAAAAGCATCTAAACTTTTCATCTGCCAAGATTTGGCTGTGTTGACATCTGTAGAGAGAAATTTGATGTGAACAGCTCAAGAAAGCTGTGGAGAATCCGGCTCCATTTGGGAGATGGAGGAAAGGGCAGAGCAGCTTTTGTAGGATCTCGTTATTGATCTGTGCCCATTACGCTTGGGCTGATGTCTGATGTTCTAATATGCTAATGTAAAGTAATGGAGTGTTATTCACAAAGGCAAGGTTAGCACTCATGATACCATCTCTGACTTCAGCTGGGGAAAGCAAAAAGCTCAGGGCTGAAAACATCTCTAAACTGAAGAGGAAGGAGGGAACAAACTGCATCTTTCCTATTCAGTGTATTGTGTATCGATCAAAACCCTCACAAAGGCATTGGCGGTAATACACAAGGAGAAGCTCCCTCAGTAAAGGCTTGCTCCTGCTTGAAGTCAGATGTTCTTTATCCCTGTAAACACAATTCTCTGGAATTTGGCAGTGGGTTGGGAATTAAGAGCGGTGCCAGTTACTGTCCTGTGGATTTGCATCTCAGCGTTTCAACATAGGAGTGTATCCGCAGAGGGAAGTTTCCCAAGTCCAGTTTACAACCTTTGTCCACTTTGTGTGCTTTTGAAGCACATGGAGTTTCATTTTCCACTACATTGAGAAGATTGCAGCATTCTCAGCAGTCTCAAAGGTGAGAGATGCATTTATTATATTCAGCAGCAGCTTCAGTATGTTTTAAGGTAGCACTCTGCTTTCAGAGGTGTTTGAGATGGCAGTGTTGAACTTTCCTGGCATTTGTGGTGCTTAATATCTTGTTTTCAGAATATTATCCACTTTCTTGAGCTTGCATCTTCATTTATTTGAAGGCATGAGGCTGCTAGCTTAATGGGGTTAAATTGACCCAAGGGGGGCTTATCTTTTTCTTGCTTACTATGACTAAGAGATACAGTCTTTAAGATACACCCTTTAATGAGACATTACAATCAGTAGGAAACTAGTATCTACTGATTTGAAGATACTGTTTATTCTCCTAGCCTTAGTGACACTAAGGAGATGCTCCTTTGTCTAATGTGAATAATGCAGTTTGCAGCTACTACCAGAAATGCTGTAACTGGTGCAGTGGAAGTGATGTGGTGTTTCAAGTCTCTGATCCCTGTCTGTGGCTGAGGTGAAGCAGTGGCTGTAGAAGGTGCTGAGATAACAGTATAAAAGGTCGTTAGGGATGATAAGGAGCAGTATCAGTGCTTCCCAGCAAGTGTTGTCCAACTGACAGTTGAACTGTCTTCCTGCAGTTCCTTACGTTGAGTGCAAGTCATTCTGAACCCATGTGTCTTCCAGAGCAGGCTGGAACTGTAGTGTGTCTTATGATGCATGTCAAAGTACCATTCAAAAAGGTGTTCAGTTTAAGGTGCCTTTACACAGGCAAGTTTTTCCCTGCAATGTTTCATTGTGCAGCTTCATTGATCAGGAGAGGCAGGAGCATGCGGCATG